AGTGGGGTATTTATGTTTCCTACAATGATAGTGTTTTGGTCTGTTTCTTCCTTTAGTTCTGTTAGTAACTGCTTTATTCATTTCGGGGTTCCCTGTTTGGGAGCATAGATATTAATAAGTGTTATGTCTTCTTGGTGTACGATTCCCTTTACCATTATGAAGTATCTTTCTTTACCTTTTTTATTTCAAAGTCTGTTTCATCCGATATTAGTACCGCTACTTCTGCTTTTCTCTGAATGCCGTTTGACTGAAATATCATTTTCCACCCTTTCACTTTGAGTCTCCATTTGTCTTTGTAACTGAGATGTGTCTCCTGGTGGCAGCATTTTGTTGTGTTTTATTTTTTGATCCAATCTGCAACTCTGTACCTTGTTATTGGTGAGTTCAGTCCATTTACATTTAGGGTGATTATTTAAATATGAGGCTTTCTTATAGCCATTTTATCTTTTGCTTTCTAGTTGCTTGGTGTTTCCGTTGCTTCCTTGTCCTCCGTGTCCTTTTTTAAAAATTCTGGTTGGATTTTCTAGATTTTTGCTCTGGTCCTTGTTTTATGTTATATACTGCAGTTCTGAATCTTTGGCGTGTGGTTACCATTAGGAGTATGTAGAGGATAGTTATATATATGTAAATATATAGTAGTCCATTTTCTTCTGCATGTGCCTTATCTCCATTCCCCTTTGTGAATTTGGATGTTTGAATCTTCTCCTCTTCTGTTATTGTTGTCTCAGTTTGTCCCTATGTATGCTACACGTTCATTACTATCTTGCATAGCAAATCTCTTCTTACTGTTTAAGCTTTCAATGCCCTGTTCTTAGTAAGGGTTGCACTCTTCTGCTTCTATCTCCCTCCTAGTCACCTTACTCATAGTTATGTATTTTTTTTCATCATTTTATTTTTGGTGTGTTTACCCCTTTCAGTATTTTTGTAATGCAGGCCTCGTCATGGAGAATTCCCTCAATTTTTATATGTCTGGAAACGTCTTTATTTCCCCTTCATACCTAAAGGAGAACTTTGCTGGATACATTATTCTTGGCTGGTAGTTCCTTTCATTTAATAGTTGGAATATGTGATTTTACTCCTTTCTGGATTGTAAGGTTTGTGCTAAGAAGTCCGACGATAATCAAATGGGTTTTCCTTTATAGGTTACTGTCTTCCCTGGCTGCCCTGAGAATTTTGATTCCATTCCTTTCTGGCTTGTAATATTTGTGCTGAGAAGTCCGAGGATAATCTCATGGGTTTTCCTTTATAAGTTACTGTTTTCTTCTCCCTGGCTGCTCTGAGAATTCTATCTGTGTCGTTGATTTTTGATAACTTTAATGCAATGTGTCTTGGTGAAGGCCTTTTTAGGTTGAGGTAATTGGATGTTCTGTTGATCTCTTGAATTCCAAGCTCCAGCTCATTCCTTAACTTTGGGAAATTCTTGTCAACTAATTGTCTGAAAATCCTTTCTAGTCCCTGCTGCTTTTCCTTGCCTTCAATAATGCCCATTATTCTTATGTTTCCTCTCCTGATGGTATCAGCTAGTTCTTGAATTTCTCTTTCATTATTTCCATTCTTCTGTTTCTCTCTTCTTTCTGATTTATTTATAGATCTCTGTCTTCGATATCACTGATCCTTTCCTCCATTTGGTCGACTCTATTTCCCAAGCTTGCTATTTCATTTTTCAACTCCTGCAATGTGTTCTTCATCTCCAGAAGTTCTATTTGTTTCTTTTTGAGGGTTTCAATCTCTTTGCTCTGCTCATCTAGTTGTTTTTTCAATCCTTGAAATTGTTGATATGACTCGTTTCCGAACTCACTGTTTTTTCAGAAGTACCATCCTGAATTCTCTGTCATTTAAGTTGCATATTTCTATGTCTGTAACTTCTTTTATGGGGATTTTTCTCTTTCTTTCAGAGATGCCTTGTCACCTTGGTTGGTCATGCTGTTTAGTGGACCATTTCTCCGTTTGGGCATTAATGGAAGTGTATTCTGCTATTTTTCTAGAAAAAAAAGTTTTATTATATAAAGGTCTCTCTTCAGCCTGCTGCAAAGAAGGTTCTTTTCTTTTGGTTTCCCGTAGGTGACATCTTAGCCTCTTGGATCCTTGCTTTATATAAAGTCTTAAAACTGCCTTTTCATTTTCTTAAAGATCGTTAATCACACTCATTACCCTCAGTTTCAGTCTCTGTCAGTGTCATTGATGGTCTCGGCAGCTCCATTTGTTCAGGTTCCCCTAGGGCTTCTTGGTGATCGGTCTTGGAGGGTATGGAGCAAGGGGCCCTCTTGGTTGGGAGTTGGGGGCTGTGGGTCAGCCTTGGTTTTGCAGCCAGGGCCAGTAAAAATCAACTGATATTTCTCTGCGGTTCCGTCCTGCTTCTCTGCTTTCTGCCCAGATGACTGGGCCCTGCCGCCGGCTGTGTGGAACTCACCGCTCTCCCAGGCAGGGCGTTCAAGGAAGTCGCCACACCTTCTTCCGTCCTCCTCCCCTTACAGGGATCTCTGGTGGCTCTGAGAGGCAGCTTCTTTATTTCTCCCAGTCCACCACCTGACACCTGGGGTTCTGACCTGTGGTAGCTCTTATGTGCACATCCCATACTCAGACGTGCTGGTGTGCAGTTTGGGTGCTTTTGTTGAGTTTTAGGTGTTCAGCTTATTGTTGTTTTAAGGTGAGAGTTCTGTGGACGTCTCTCATTCTGCCATGTTTTTCCGACCGCCCAGCATTATTAATTTGACAGTTCATCCTTACCCCACTGATGCGTATTGGCACCTCTGTTATGTATTAATTTTCACGTGTGTGGGAATGTGTGTGTTGAGTCTATTATTCTGTTTGTATTGCTTTGTTTGCCTGTCTGTACAGTAATTTCACTTCATTAATATAGCTTTAAAATAAATCATGATATCTGATAGGGAAATTTTATCTGACAAAAATAATCATAAAAGTTAAGAGACAAACATAAAAATTTGAGAACCATATGATTTCACTTGTGGGATGTACAACTGAAAGCAACAAAAGAACAAGACAAACAGAGGCTCGTGGACATGTACAACAGTTTAGTGGTTACCAGAGGGAAAAGTGGAAGGGGGAAGGTAGATAAGAGTGAAGAGTGTCAAATATATGGTGATAGAAGGAAATTCAACTTTGGGTGGTGAACACACAATGCAATAAATATATGACATTATTGAATTGTACACTTGAAACCTATATAATTTTGTTAACCAGTGTCACCACAATAAATGTAATAAAAAGTTAAAAAGACAAACCACAGATTGAATGGTATTTATAACCCATATAACTAACAAAGGATTAGTGTCTGGAATATATAAAAGACTATATATCAATTAGAGCAAGAAACACCCCAATTTAAAAATGGGAAAATGATTCAAACAAGCTATAGAAGAGATACTTCACTAGTGATTATACATGGCATGCAAGTTAAAGTGATAACGAGCTATTTTGTCAAATTCATAATGTTGGCAAAAATTAGTATCTAACTGCACTTAACACCAGGAAAATATAAGAAAACAGAAATACTCATATATGCTGCATTTGGAGTTGTAGGAGTTGTAAACTTCTTCAACATTTTTGGAGAGAAATTTTATTATACCTATTTAAAGTCGATAATTTTCATACCTTATAAGCCAAGAATTCCACTTGTTGATATATACTTTAAAGAAATTCCTGGACGTGTTTATAGGAGATATGTTTGCATATGTTTAGTGCAGAAGTTCTTGTAATAGCAAAATAAATATAAACATAACTGCCTTCAGTAACATATTGAGTGGAATATTATACAGCATGTAAATGAATGAACTAGAGTTATGTGGATCAATATGTGTAAATATTAGAAATATATTAGTGAATTATAAAAAGCAAGTTGAAAAGGAAAAGAATAGAATGATTCCATATTCATAAAAAGTTTTAAATGACAATATATAATACTGCTCATGGGTACATGCATAAATAGTAAAAGAATAAAAGCATGAAAGGAAATGATACAGACAAACTCTAAGATAGTGGTTATCTTAGAGGATATAACCACTGGGGAGAAACCGAGGAGGAAGAGATTATGGGCAGGTGGAAATAGGACTGTATACATAAAATTTTACCTCTCTTAAAAAGGAAGTATGAAAGAAATATAGCAAAATGTTAACATCTGTTGAAACTGGATGGTAGGTATTATTTTCTGTGCTTTTCTATATGGTGGATATATCTTACAATTTAAAATTCTTTATATAGAGAGTGAGTGCTTCACAGTATGTGCTCAGGAATATAATTTCCCTTCTACCTCCACCAGCATTTTGGTGGTTGTTATGTATTTTGTTACTCATTTGTTCAGAGAGATTTCCAATGTGCTTAACTTAGAAGGTTTAATTTCTTTATATAAGAAAATTTGAGAGGCAGGCAGTGCAGGGCTGATATGACAGCTCAATGCCATCATCAGGGACCCAGGCATTTTCTTTCTTTCTGCTCTGATGAACTAGTTTCTGTCCTTAAATTTCCTCATAGTCCCAGATGACTGTTGGAACTCTAACCTTTACATGTTAATTCCAGAAGCAGGAGGGAAGAAAGTTAGAAGGGCTGATCCCCCAGCCTGTAAAGAAGGCTTTTCAGAAGTTCACCCAACACTTCAGATTACAATTTATTGGCCAGTATCCAATCACATGGTAATATCTTGCTGAAAGGGGGGCAGGAGCATGCAGTTTTCAGCTAATTATATTGCACAAGATGTATAAGGAAGAAGAAATTTGATATTAGGCAGCAACTAGGAGTCTCTGTCAAAAACAAGAGCCTGATGTTATTGGCCTCTAAATTATAGCTTTGTTTTTTTTAATTTTCACTGAGATTTAGAGTTTTGAAAGCATGTGAAACTCTTTCATAAACTTGGTACACACCAAATAAATTACAGCTCACTATAGTGAACGCTGCCCTCAAATTCAAAAGTGCTGTCTTCAAATTTAGAGGCATAAATTTAGAGTGCCTCTGTTATCGAATAAAGTCATGTTATATCTTTTTTTCAGAGTGAAAAACATGCTCAAAATGTTAGGTTTTATTTTCAAAAGCATGGAGAACAAAATGAAGTGCCTAGTAAGAAAACGAAGATGGATGTTAGAAATTTTCAGGTGAGTGGCCTATGTTGATATTGTAATTCTAAAGTATGAGTTATTGATTTTTTTCTAACAAGATTGTGCTTATTTCAGGTGCATAAGAGTGAAGTAGTGGACAGAAACAAATTTTGTGATCTCTGCAACATGATTTTTAGCTCCCCAATTGTTGCTCAGTCTCACTATGTGGGGAAAGTTCATGCTAAAAAAATGAAGCAATTAATAGAGGAGCATGATCAGGTATCTCCATCAGGATTTGAGCTGGAGATGGGTAAGATTACATTTCTCTCTTTAGCTTCAGTACGAGGTCTCTCTATCATTTCCCCCCAAACTCTGCTATCCATTCTTTATCAGAGAGACTCTCCCTTGGGGGCAATAAATTGATTCTTCTTCTTCTGCCTTGTTAAGCTCTTTCTGCATCTTTGTCATTTAATATGGAGGTTATAATTGCTAGCTAAATTTTAAGAAATGTTATGACTTCTTTTTAGTTTATTAAATCCAAATAAAAGCAAGTAATTTGCTGTGTAGCTATAAAGAAACAACAATAAGCAGCCTGAGCTTTCCAGTTTCTAATAAAATCATAAAATCTTAACTCCTTCTCACTTCTTCCCCTTGGCATCTATCTCAGCATTTTTTTATTGCTTTAGTACCTTCCAAAACATTGTCTCATATGTGTGTTCAGACCAATGTATTCACCATAATATAATTGTGATGCTGCATTTCTTGACTGTAACTGTAGGAAAAAATAAATAAACTATGGAATCTCCTTCTACCCTGATAGCTCATTCCTTTCTTCCTATGAATATAAAGTATCAACAATATCATCAATCATTATTGAGTATTTATTTTATACTATATTCCAAAGATACAGAGAACTATAAAACAGTGTCTTTTCCCTCCTTCCAATGATGTTGGACCATGAGCATATGAGAGATCTGACCCAAAAATCTCACTTCTGGCCTGAGGTGGCAGAGTGCACCCTAGAAAACTCAACTTGCACTTTGAAAAAATTGTTTGTTAGAATGAAAAATAAGATGATTAATCCTCTAGAATAAAAAATTTACTTCATTTTCACTAGCTTCTACACTTGAGGAATAAGGCTTGCCTGGCATGGAAAATTTACTGACATTAATTTCTATTTCATAGTGTAGGCCTCATCTAGCATTAAAACATACTGTCTTAATAAAAAAAAAACACAATTATTTAAAAATTTATTCTAGTGTCTCTAATTTTTGTATATTTGGTTTCCTGCCTGTCAATCTAAAGAGGGATAGAATCAGCGTGCCCTACAAAAGAAAGCATTTTGTAAAGCCTTATCCTATTTTCAGTCCCCAAAATTCATCAATTTGGGCTTGGAGAGGAGACTAAATGAAAGAGCTCAGAAATAACTGTAATTGTGAAAACATATAATTTTATATTCCTTAAGAAGTTCATAAATTTTATTTTGTTACACCACAAATCTGGACTGTATAGATGACTTACTATGTTACCCAAGAAAGACACCAGCTTAGAAGTTGGTATCATCCGTTTTACACTCACTAATTTCAAGAACCATCCTAAAAGAGCTCTCATGCTTTCACTGATTTTTTCAAGTTAATATAAATTGTCAATGCTTGATGCTAAATGTTCCTTTCTGTATCTTTGTTGGAGAAACTTGGTGGCAGATGTGTATTCAAATTTCCTTTCTCACAGAAGGAAATTATTTTTAACCTGAGTACCTTTATCCAATAGCCATGTGGAAAAAGTACAAAGATAATGGGTTTTGAATTTCCCTAATATTTTATAATCAATGCAACTCTAATAGCTGAACACATGTTGATCGCTTTTCATTATGACTATTTCAGCAGGTACGCCTATTACTACTTCTGCAGAGTCAACTTTTCTGAAGCCCCTTGCTGTCAAGCCTCCTCCAGGTGGGATTAAAGACAAGACTATGCCTTCCTCTTCCAGCACTGCTTTGGATTTGAATAATCCAAACAAGTATTGCAAGCTCTGTCCTGCTTCCTTTAATAGTCCATTAATGGCCCAACAACATTATGTTGGGAAAAAACACAAAAGAAATGAAGCTAGGAAGAAGGTTGTAGACAAGATAAGAGAGGACTCTCTTCCAGCAAAATCAGATGCAAATGGTAAACAGTAAAAATATCCCAAAACTCTTTCATAGGAAGTTTACATTTTATAACACGTACTAGCTTATGTATATACACATTTACTCTTGTTGAATAGGAGGTTGGTAGTACTCATGGAACCATAGAATTTTAGGTAAATAAGGACTTAGAGTCTTTTTAGTTCTGTCTGTTGTGAGATCCAGAAGTTTTTAGATGACCCTTATTAATTACAGAATCAAATATAGGTATTTCCATGGTTCCTTGTTATGTCTAAGGTGCATAAGAAAGTATTTTAAATTAGTATTGTGTTGTTATATCATTCAGTCACTAAGTATAGTGTAAGCATCTCTTGGGTGCTTGGCTAGTTATTCTTAGGAATACAAATGAGGATGGATAGACTGTTTTCCCTGAAAGAGCAAGTATACAGACTAGTTGGGTTGATAACACTTTACTGCAAGAGACTACAGACATGGGTTTTTGTGTACATATTTATGGTAACCAGAGGAGTGAAATATCATGGTTCAAAATATCTTCATAGAGGAAGTATATGATTTAGATTGGTAGGAGTGGGAAGGAGAGAGGATGAACAAAGGAGCTAAGAGGGAGTGGCAGTAATTCAAGCACAATAAAAATTCTGATCCTAACTGGAGTGATCCACTTGCTCTTCTAATCATATTTTTTTTTCATTTCCCCCCCCCAACAGGCACCTTCTCACTACTAGTGTATTTTATTCCCTTTTCATATTCTTTCTTCCACCCACTTCTTGCTCTCCACTTACTGTTATTTTCCGATTCTTAGTAGACCTTTTATGCTTCATGTGAAAATGTTCATTACTCCCTTCTTGAAGCTCTGTTCTTTGTCCCATGTAACTCCTTATGCTCTGGTTTTGCTCTGTGTTTCTATTTCTTTTTTCTTTTCTTTGAGAGATTTTTTACAAAATTCATTACTTAATGTAGGTTTTCCTGTGGTTTCATTTTTGAGCTTACTCTACAAACATGATCTAACCTACCTCCTGATTTCACCTCTTATCTGTATGCTTATGGCCTTTCTGTAAAGCTTTAGATTCCTATCTAAATGGTAGCTGTTGCTTCACCTGAGTATCTCATAGCAATTTCAAATCCATCCAGTTGTTCAAAGTAGAAACCTGTAGTTAAATGTGAATCCCCCAACACCACCTTCTTCACTTTCTATATCTAATGAAGCACCAAGTCATGACTATTTTACCTCCAGAGTATCACTTTTACCTTATCTCCAGTCCTGCTCTTCCCACACTAGTTCAGGCCCTCAACATCTTTTCCTAGAGCTTTGTTCCTCAAACTATGGTTTGTGGCCAGCATCATTGGCGTTGCCTGAGATCTTGTTAAAAAATGAATTTCAGGTCTCACTACAGAACTACTGAATCACAATCTATCTACATTTTAACAAGATCCTTAGGTGATTTGTACTCACAACAAGTTTTGAGAAGCATTGTTCTAGAATATTGCTACAACCTCCTAACTACTCTCTCTGCCATCAGTGTGGTCTCTCCAAATCTGCCTTCAATTTAACTACTAGAATATTTCACCTAAAGTGCACTTCTTTCCGTGTCGTTCCCTGCTTAACAATTCTTAATTGTTTCTCTATTTTCTAAGGATAAAGTCTAAGCTTCATAGCTCTTTACCATCTTGTCCCTGTCTACCTTCTCCAGACTTATCTCCTGCTACTTCCTGCCACGATTTATGCGAGTCAGAACCTACAAACTCTTTATGGTTTCCAAAGACCATTACTGTGTGTCTTGTCCCTGTGCCCTTGTTCTTGTTGCCATGTTACCTGGAACATCTCCATGTCCCTCTTGGCTAACGTCTACTCATTCTTTAACATGCTACTTCCTTGGAAGCCTTTTTACTATCATCAAGGCTTATCTTCTGTGCTTCCTTAACCTGCATATCTAATTATCTTTCCGTGTGTCTTTACTCCCATTAGAATGTAAGGTCTTTGAGGGAAGGGACTTCATCTAACTCTTCTCTATTTTCAGTGTTTGAGATAGAAACTGGCATAGAGCAGGCCTACCTCAATAGAGATTAGTTTAACATAGGAACCAGTGAACTGTCAATCTTTATGTAATGAGTGCTAACCCTTCGTTTGTACTATTTAAGTTTCCTACTTAATGTGATTTAATGCATCCCCAAAAGTTACACAGAGATCTGTGTTTTTATCTAGAATTTTAAAGAATATTAATTTAGGCAAGTGTAGAAATAGAAATCCTAGGATTTCAGAAAGTAGTAGATGTTTGGAGAAATGACAGACTTCCACTTGTTAGAATTCTTTTTTTCCTATTGTTGGGCTGAGGGTATCTGACATAAGCAGTTTCTAGTTTAGTGGCGTTAGGTAAAATTGGAACTGAGTGAACTATGAGAAATGTGTGCACTCTGAAAGGAGGGTCATTTTAACACTCTGAAGTTTCAGAGTTATTAGAATAAGAGGAGGATTTGGGTGAAATTCTCATCTGGCTGGGGAGGTGCTGCTGATCATCAGCGTAAATTAATCCAGTCATTGAAGTCACTTTACATTAGCCTCTGAAGCTAGAGCTCAAAGAACAGATTTTCAACACTGCCTTAACTAGTCCATTTGGAGAACAGTAAAGATTTGAAGATTAAAAAAATAGCTGGAGAATTTAAATTAACTAATGACAATTTCAAAGGACAGTAACAGCAGAAGCCCATATTGTAAATGAGCAAGTGGTAAGACAAAAACAATTTAAAGTGTACCACCTTAACTATTTCACTCTTCACCCATTTTCTCCCTTCTGTCTCTGGTTTCTTTTCCATCTGCTCTTGTTTATATATGTTTCTACTGTATCTCTCTTTCTGTCTGTCTTTCTTCTTCATTCTCAGGGCTTTCTTCATGTCTCTCATCCAGCCCAGGTCTTACTAGCACAGGAATGGCTACCATAACGATATGGAACTAAAGTATGTATGTATTTTTTATTTATTGTATTTGTTTTATCTTACTAATATCTAGCCCCATTATTGCACTTAGATGTCTCATCTTCACCTGTAACTCAACATATCTAAAATTGAATTAATAATCTTTTCTAAAACCATCTTGAATTTCCAAAGTTTTCTGTCTTTGCTGGTAGTACCACTATTTGTCCCTTACATTTGAATCTTTGAGGGCATCTTTG